GCCTTAGCCAGTTGAGCCATAGGCGCCGAGCCTGAAAACACTTTTAAATTGTAAATTGTGAGTTGCATTTATTAGTTATTAAAGTGAAGGTCAGGACAGGTTAAGGGAGACAGCAGATGGCACCAACTCAACAACAAATTCAGATCATGGGCTAGCAATGAAAAACCCAGAGCAATTGATTCAAGTCCCTCATGAGTAGGTGGCATCCCTGAGCACTGGAGTCCCAGACCATGCCTCAATTTTCTTTTCTCCCAACAGAATGTAGCTGTCGTGCCACATAACAGAGCATCTTTCTCCTTTCTCTTGTTATTCTTCCTTGAAGCCTTTACTCCAAACCACCGCACTGTACCTCAAATGGGCCACAATCCTCTTCCCTATTAGCTGATGGTTCAGACTCTGGAGTCGAACCTGCCTTTGACACCAGAGGTGAATGATTCAGGTTCAAATCCTGACTCCAGGCTCGGCACCTGTGGCTTAAGTGGCTAAGAAGCCAGCCACATACACCTAAGGAGGTGGGTTTGAATCCAGCCTGGGCCTACCAAACAATAATGACAACTGCAACCAAAAAGTAGCTAGGTGTTGTGGCAGGTCCCAGCTGCTTAGGAGGCTGAGGCAAGAGAATTGCTTAGGCCCAGGAATTTGAGGTTACTGTGAGCTGTGATACTACAGCATTCTACCCAGGGTGACAGCTTGAGACTTTGTCTCACAAAAATAAAAAATAAAAAAATAAAGAAAACCTTTTGGCTCAGCACCTGTGGCTCAAGTGGCTAAGGCACTAGCCACATACACCTAAGGTGGCAGGTTCGAATCCAGCCCGGGGCCCACCAAAACAACGATGATGGCTGCAACCAAAAAAAAAAAATAGCCCGGCGTTGTGGCGGGTGCCTGTGGTCCCAGCTACTTGGGAAGCTGAAGCCGGAGACTCGCTTGAGCCCAGGAGTTGGAGGTTGCTGTGAGCTGTGATGTCACAGCACTCTACCCAGGGGGAGAGCTTGAGGCTCTGTCTCAAAAAAAACAAACAAAAAAACTCCCAAATCCTGACTCCACCACTTACCAGCTCAATGACTCTAGAGGATGTTACCTGAATTCTCAGCACCTTAGCTTCCTCATATGGAAACATGGGGATACTAATTCTGTCTGCCACTTAGGCTTATTATGATGATTAATTGCATCATCATAACAAGAAAAATAACAGATAAAACTCTTTAAGCGCTACACACTGCTCTAAGTTCATCATAACTGTTGGGGGTGGGGGTCAGTCTCTGAGACCCCAGCTCTGGTCAGGCTTTCTCTAGCAAGCAGGCTTCTCTAACAAGCAGCTCCCAGAAACTGAAGGCACTTTGCCTTGGCCAATGCAAAAAAAAAAAAAAAAAAAAAAAAGGCGGGGGGGAAGGAGGAGGAGGAGAAGGAGAAGTTAGGCAGTAGTAGTGGAACCTGGGCAACAGTGGAATTCACACTGCAGTGGCAGCGATTAACTAGGTTTTATTTTATAATTTTATAAGTAGATAGAACACACCTGAGAGGGAGGTGTGGCTCTCTTCCTCTGGAATGAGAAAGGACCCCTTATAATCTTCCCTCAGACTATTTATTTTTCCAGCCCCAGCTTTGATACCCCTATTTATATATTTCTAAACTCATGTTTGGGCATTTCTAATGTTATATATCTCCTATCCCATAACAGTTCCCACAATTCCATTTTAATTGTATGCTTGGGTGATGACAAATGTAAATGAAA